CCCCCCCCATTTTTCTGCAGGTATAGCCCTGTTGACATGATATTAGACTCCCTAGAAAATTTTGTAACTGTGCATCTTTGTAATTTGTGGCCACATCCCTAAGCCTTGTCTTACTTGCTTATACCCTGATACTATGCAGTGTTACTGCACTGTATTTACATGCGCTTTTCTTCTACAGTGGCAGTGTTTGTCTAACAGGCGCATATTCCCTTACCAAGAAGTAATATATTTGGGGGGGGTTTACTTAAAATTGTTTAAATGTTTTGCTTCACTAACTGACCTCACTTTTTTTCACAGATAGATTTCATTGATGGTAAAGGGCGAGGAGTAATCGCTACCAAACATTTTAATCGTGGAGAATTTGTAGTAGAATATCATGGGGATCTCATAGAGATCACTGATGCTAAAAAGCGAGAGGCTGTCTATGCACAGGATCCATCCACAGGCTGCTACATGTACTATTTTCAGTACCTCAGCAAAACGTACTGGTAAGCCTCATCTTTTTTCCCCCCTTTTTTTTTCTTTTGAGTGTAAGAACGCAAAAGGTGGATGAAGCTCTCTATGCTACTGAACTATACAGTTTATTTTAGCTAGGTTAAAATTTTCTTAGTTCAAAGGAACTGCTCAGGTCAAGTCCTAAGAATTTTCACTTACACTGAAGCATCCAAGAATGTGTGCTGGACCACTGTTAGTGGAGTGGCAGGTGGCTCAAGAAACAGCTCAAACTAGAGGATGGAGATCAGGATGAGGACTGAAATCTGGATTTGACTTTCAACTGTTGCTGGCTTTCTGACTAGTTCTGTTGACATCTCTTTCATCAGACACTTAGAAAATATTGTGCTCATGAAAATTAGTGAGTAAAGGATGATGTGTTTTTACAAATTGGAAAAGAAATGGCACCCTGTAAAAGAAGGCTTAGTTCCTACTAGATGGTTTGCTCCAGAAGAAGTTATTTTGGAGTTAAGATTCCAGCCCTCTAGTGTCACCATCACCTCTTACCATGCCACACCTATGATATACATGGTCAGGGGATATTCAGGGTGGTTTGGTTTTTTTCTAGTTCTGTGCTGGCTTAGGGTATGCCAAGCTGTGGTGGCCAGGAACATAAGGCCTGCTGAATGCCTCTGCAAGTGAGACTGAGGATACCCCAGCCACTACTTCTCAGCATGCTGGAAATGCAGGTCTTGCTGGTGGTATTAGAGGCATCCTCAGCACACTGTCACTATTTTATTTCAGGGGTTGCCACTTGTGGAAAGGCAGCAGGTGGGCAAGGCTTGTTGCTTGTAATTGGGGCTGAGTTATGTGCTACTGTAGTATACGTATACCCTGGGAAGATTTGCTGAAGCAGTTTTGGGAGGCTTGATGTTTACTCGTCTTTCTATCATCCCCTTTGGCATTGTCTGTTGTCAGGCCTCATGTTGACTCTGCCTACCTTCTTTCCTCTTAATTTTTTTCATTGCCTATATTTTTAGACTATGGTAATTTGACTTGTGCTGTACAGCAGTCTTGCATTTAACATGGCTTTTTTTCTGTTTCAGTGTTGATGCTACAAAAGAGACTAATCGTCTGGGAAGGCTGATCAATCACAGCAAATGTGGCAACTGTCAAACAAAACTTCATGACATTGATGGTGTACCTCATCTCATACTGATAGCTTCACGGGACATTAAAGTGGGTGAAGAATTGTTGTATGATTATGGAGACAGGAGCAAGGCTTCCATTGAAGCTCATCCATGGCTGAAACACTAATTCATCCTTCTTTGGCTTGACCGCTCTTGAAGGGAGTGGATGGATTTTTTTTCAGCTCTCCTAGTGGATTGCTTCTGATGTCTTAACTTCTTTAAAAACCATTTTTGCTCTATAGCATTAAATGTTACAAGTTTCCAGGCAAGCTTGAACACGTGACCCAAGATGACAAAACTTGCGTTGTAAAGAAACCTGAACACTTCTTTGCATCTAGAGTGACCTGTGCTGCATGAGCATGTAGTCCGACTTCTGCAGTTTAAAGGAAACTTTAATCGCTTGGGTTGTGCTTCTGCTTTTGGCTCTGAAGTTTCATGCCCCCCCCCCCCCCCTTTTCTTTTTTTTTTTTTTTTTTTTTAGGAAGAGAGATCTACGCAGTGTCAGCTTTTATGACAACAGATGTGTCCCTGTTCTTTGACTCTGGTGTCCAATAACTTGACTACCTGTAAGACTCTTTAAAACCTAGTGCTGATGAGCCAAGGATGCCAGTGTGGCAGATTGCTGTTCTGTCTTTTTGGCTTTTCCAGCAAGGGTACCTCTCATTGAGGACAAAATCTCTAAATGCACTGGCACTAGAGGAATGAATAGCTAACCTAGCTACTCCCTCCAGAGAGGCAACTTTAATCTGTGTGTTGATCTTGTACATGGCAGGCTGATGATTAGAAATGTGAAGGGAAAGCTTAAAAGTGATTTACTATGAGGACTTTTTTTTTATTTTATTTTTTTTAAGTTAGGGTGTTCTAAAGTTTCTGAGATGGTACCTTTTATGTGGCTGATCTGGAGGGGGTGCTGAAAGGTTTTTAAAGAAACAAAAAAGACTAAAGAACACCTTTCCCAAATGTATTGCCTAACGATGTTGTTTAGCCATGATGAGACTATTTATTTACTGTGAATGCTGGAAATTAGGGAATAAAGGGTTCAAAATACGTATGCTCTTCTTCATGTGCAGCTTCAATCAATAGGGTAGGAGTTCTACATGAAGAGGTAGATTCCTTAGAGCCTAGTCCTGCCAGCTCTTGATCACTGTCTAGTCCCACTTTGGAAGTTGAGGATGCTTAGCATCTAGCAGAATGTGCTCAGAGCATTATAGGTTTGGCCTTATTATAGTTTGGGTTCTCTAGTGGTATAGGTGGGCTATGCAGTAGAGGCCCTTGCAATAAAGGTGAACTTGTCAATTGGAATTTTTGCCAAGATGTGCTTGGCATGTACATAGCTGATGATGGCCCTGGGCTATCGGCCACATTTGCTGCTAGATGTCAGCAAGAGGTTCTGTGGCTCTATTAATGTCCTCTGCTCCCCCACGTCTCCAAGGCTGCTGCTCCTGCTGGCATCATCCAGGACAGTTGTGTATGCTTGCCTATGTGATAGGCTGTAGAGTAACACCACCCTGGCTGTGCATTTCAGCAGCAAAAGGTGGCTTGGTAATGTATTTTAAGAGTGAAACTTGAAGAAAATATCTAAAATAAAAAATATATTTATTAACAATGAAATGATTGCTGTAGTACCTGCCTCTGTCTGACCAGTTTCTTAAGCAAGCTGTGAAAATGGTCTAGTTCTTAATACCTTGTACTATCCATTCCTCTTTCCAAGGCATGCTTAGCAAGGAGGCTGTGTGTGCTCACAGTTAGCTTGACCACTGTTTAAGCAGAGTAGAACTGGTGTTCAAGTGAAGCCACTTTGCAGAGGCGGCACTATGCTTCCTCATTTTCTGTAAAGAAAATCCAATTACTGGTGTAGCTCCCACTTCAGAGACCTTCCACTTACAGCAGACTTTGGCAAGTAGGTACACTCTGAGAAGCACACCTCCATGCTAGTCTTTATTTTGCCACTGGCTTATTCTAATCTTGTTATATTGCTCTTCACTTCTCTGTTCCTTGTTTTATGAGGGGGGGATTCTGGTACTGACCTACTTACCCTTTTTCTTATTAAAATGCTTTTTCAGTTTGTGGTTTGTAGAGTTCTACAGGCACTTGGGTGGTATAGCTGTGCAACATGGAAATAAAGCTAATATGACACTGCTTTCATACTGACTATGTTACATTGACAACATGTAGTTGAAAGGGAAAGCGGCCTGCTTTTACACATTCTAGCCTAGCTTCTATCATCTAAAAAAGGCCTGCAATGCTGCATCCCAACTTCCTCAGCACCCTGAAAAATAATGTGACAGCTTCATATAGATAAATATGGGTGACCTGTGCATTAGTTATGGAAGCAAGTGCTGGCCAGTGCAGCATGCCTTGGTTATTGTTTAATTTGCTAAATGTACAAGGATACATTGCCACACACACCCTTGACAACTACCAATGGCAAACCTGGCTGTGGCTATTGGGCAGGGAACGCTTGAGGAATTTAGCAGTTGGTGGAAGGTAGCTTGGGATAAATATCAAGTGCAATGATTCAGACTAACATCCATGGCAGTGAACAGGGTAGTTAAAAACACTCCTCCCCTTGTTAGTAAGACCTTTTTTCCCATTAACAACAGCATTGGGAAATACTAGTAAACTTTGCAGCCGTAGCCTATGCAGGGCTCTGACTGCTCTTGGACAGGGCTCTTGGATCCATTTATTACATCTGTGCTGACTACAGCCAGTGAGTCAGTATCATCTCCCTGTTCTTTACTTACAGCAACTTAATTTTTAACTGCAGTGGAGCTGGACTTGACCTCTAAGGAACTGTCTCCTACTTCTCGAGCCAAGGATGTTGGCTCCCTTCCTGAAGGATGCTGGAGCTCTGTCCCTCCTGTGTAAATCTGTATTCCAGAATACCTCATTCTAAGCCCTCTCCTCTATGAACAGCCCGCTGTTCCTAGCATACTCCATCAGAGCAATGCAGGAGTGATGTCTTCTACAGCTGAGTTACACCTCTCAAACCTCAACATCAGCTCCTTGGCTGATGGTCATGCTATAAATAGGAAAAAGTACTTTGATATTGCCCCAGTGACCTTACCTCACCGTGGCCCCAGCTCCCGACTACACATGGCAAAGGCAAGACCAAAAGTGTAGTGCATGTAGCAACTCCTTGATGGCAAAATCATTGTGGCTCTTTTCTCCACTGGACGGGCAACACATGGAGTCTAATCTTTTCATGTTTGACAGCTTTGTTAATATTTCATTGCTAATAAATGCACCCATAGATGAGTGTAGCTTTCTATATTCTACAGAATCTAATATTCAGTTCCATAGTTGGTAGGGTTGGAAGGAACCTGAGTAGATCAAGTCCGACCCCCTGCCATGGGCAGGAAAGAGTACTAGGGTCAAACAACCCCGGCTAGCTGATTATCTAGCCCTTTTGAAGACCCCCCAGGGTAGGAGCGAGCACCACTTCCCTTGGAAGTTGGTTCCAGATCCTAGCTGCCCTGTGTAGTGCCTCCTGATGTCTAGCCTGAATTTCCTCTGTCAACTTATGGCCATTATTTCTTGTTACTCCCGTTAGTGCTCGGGAAAACAGGGACTCTTGCCTTGCCTGCTGGTTCCCCTTGGCGAATTCATAGACAGCCACCAGATCCCCTCAGCCTTCTCTTCTGGAAGTTCAGGTCCCATAGCCTCTCCTCGTAGGCCCTGCCTTGCTGCCTCCTGATCATGCGAGCGTCCCTCCTCTGGACCCTCTCCATGTTGTCCACATCCCTTCTGAAGTGCAGCGCCCAGAACTGGACATAGTACTCCAACTGTGGCCTGACCAGTGTCACATAGAGGGGGAGGATCACCTCCTTGGACCTGCTCGCAATACATCTGTAGATGCATGACAAGGTGCGGTTAGTCTTCCTGGACACTGGCAGCCCATGTTCATCTTGGAATCAATTACTCCAAGATCCTTTTCTGCCTCTGTGCTGACTAGGAGTTCCCAGCCTGTATGTGTGCTGCTGGTCATCCCCCCACCCCCCGTGCAGCACCTTGCACTTGTCAGTGTTGAAACCCATCTTGTTCTCATCCTCCCACACCTGTAACCTGTCCAGATCTAGTTGCAACCTGTCCCTCTCCTCTAGCATGCCCACTTCTCCCCACATCTTAGTGTCATCTGCAAATTTGAATAAGGTGCTTTTCACCCCCTTGTCCAAGTCGCTGATGAAGATGTTGAACAGTGCGGGCCCGAGGACCGAGCCCTGGGGGACCCCACTGCCCACACCCCTCCAGGTCGAAAATGACCCGGTCCACCACCACTCTCTGGGTCCGGCCCTCCAGCCAGTTTGCGACCCATCTGACTGTAGTTTAAAAAAGGACTTCTTGTTAATCTTTGATCCAGGTCGCTAGTCCCAGTTCCGTCTCTGCCTTGGTCTTCCTAACAGCCCCCCTACAATCTCGAATAATGGAGGTATAATCCTCCTTGGTGATGGCCCCATTACTAAGTACAAATACAGACATGAACTGCCCTACCTCTGTCTACTACTTGCAGATAAAAGGTAATCATGAAGCTTCAGAATTCTCCTTTTCCGTTGAGAACAAGATCATACTTTCTAGACATAACAAGAACAATGAATAATCACTCCCAAATCTGAATTCAGGTTAAATAACTGTTGTCCTGCTAGATGTGGAACTTGATTAGAATGAGTACAAACCTCAAAATGTTCTTGCCTACTCCTTCCTTCCATTTCTGCTTGACCTATAACTTTCTAATATATAATTAGCATCCCCACATGCTGTACACTCTGAAGATGCAGTTTCTGTTACTTTCCAAAAGCTAAATGTCTGGAAAAAAGTAACTTTTTAGAGGCTTCCTTTTCCCATCGATGTGGGAAGTGGAAGCAGCTCTGTAACTTGAGCATATATTTGGCACACCTCAAAAGTATCAATACCATCTTAAATCCTGTGTGTCCTCAAAACTGGCTTGGCATAGGAAGTAGTAGTGTAAGTTTCCAACACTGCTGTAATTTGGTTCATTGGTGTAAGCAAGTAATTCTATCTCTAGTCCAGCCAAGTCTTGATTTCTTTTTTCAAGGTGCCAGTTACTATGAGACCAGGCCACCACGCTTTACTTGTTTGAGAGTTCCCAGGAACTGGCAGCTACTAGCTTTCATCTGTTTCTGGGTCGCATATAGTGGTGGTGTGCTAATTAAGGTCACTGCAGAATACTCCTAAATGTTACTATTGAGCAGATTAGTCATAAAACAAATACCTAGGGGAGGAAGAAAGCTATTGCTGTAGATGGTGTAAATCTAGCAAGTGCCAATCATTTCAGCATGGTAAGCTCCTGTGGACTAGGTGTTTTTAGATGTCAGTGAATGTATTTAATGTAGGATGTAGCCTGTGTGCGTCTTCAAAAGAGCGTGAACACTATTCATAAAGACTTATCCCCTAGGGATGTCTAATGGGAACTTAGAATCCTTAGCAAGAAGAAAATATTTTTAATACAAATGTACGAAACTCTTTTTTTAAAAAAAAGCAGCAAACTCTGAAAGTAATTATACAAATAAACAATTGTAACACCAGGCCCATTCACTGGACTGATGTGGATGGTACGCTTTCCAGTACTTCTTTCTTTGACTCCTTGTGGACCCTTAATCAGTGCAGCATTGAGCAGAAGGGGGTAATTTGTGCACCACATTCATTTTCCCTGTTTAAAAAAGAACCTGCAGGGAGAGAGAGAGAGAGAGAGGAGAAAAAGAATAACATACAAAAGGGGAGGTTACAAAGATGTGCGGAGCCTGCCCTGTCAATGTAATCAGGTACTCTAAGACCGTCTTGAGAATGCTGGCACCCAGAGCCACTCAAACTCCATCCTAATGAAACCTCCAGAGATGGTCAGTGCATCAGCCTTCTAGCCCTAATTTTAAAAGAGAAGGAATAGACTTTTGACTCGCACTGCTTTAATGATTCATTCTGAAATACTGATGCTTTGTGGAACAAGGACTTAGAGCCCAGATAGGAAAGAGAACTTAAGATCCCTGTTATAAGACACGCATACTAGGCTCTGTGAGACTCTTAACTGCAGACCTCTTCTTGTATCTAAGATGGCTTGGCTCCTATAGGGTGCTTTTCATAGCAAAGCCAAGCCTCCTTTTCCTGTGGTACTAGTGAGCATATGAAGCATCAACACTGTGGTTCAGTAGACAGGATGTAGGGCTAGTAAGAAGGAGAGCTGGGTTACTTCAGCTCAATGGCAGGCCAAACTTTTTGGCAGGTGTGCCACAAATTAAGCCCTGTGTTCTCCCTGAGTGCCACTCTGATCCCCTTCCCCTACCAATTTGCCACTCTGCTTTCTGCCTGACTTGTGCCACACTCATGGCACACGGGTTGCAGGTGGTCCATCCCTGCCCCACCTGCTGCTGTGACCCCAAGTTAGTAACTTCCTCTGTTTCCCCCTTCTAGGATGACACTGACATTTGCAAAGAGCTTTGAAATCTAAGAAATAAAAGTACTAGGGAAGTGCTGAATATGTTGTATTGCTACTTTGCTGCCCTAGTAGCTTCTACAACTCTCCAAAGTGGTAATAGCTCTAGGAACATGAAATCTATACCATGTTTAGATAAGTTTGCTAAACTATACAATGAATTGGCCTGGAACCATGCTTAAGACATCTTTCTTTTTGTGACACTGCTACCACTAAAAAGGTATTGGGTAGCTTCTCTCAAAACTCAGGCAAAGCATTTAATCTGATTCTCTAATTCAGATGACCCCTGTTAAGAGATTAACTCGCATAACAGCTGAACTGACAAGATAACTGATAGTTCAGCTCTCAAAAAGGGAACTGCCAGCTGTAGCAACCTAGACCCATTACTCTCTAGGAGCTGCAGGGTTGTGCTGCATCAAAGCGCTAGTGCTGAGGCAAGCAACATTCTGCGTGGCTTCAGTGGGTGGTTTGCTTGTTTTAGGATTCCAGCCTCAGATCTTTGTTTTAAGAGAAGAGATCGACATCCAACCAAACCAGCCAGTCAGCAGCAGTTAAAAATCCGCCCCTGTACTTCCTTTATGTTTGGAGTTTACCTTTTCACTGCCAAAAGCAAGTGTTGATACTTACAGCCGTCTTATGATGGTTTTCTCTCTGGCCTTGCTTGAGTCTGGTCTGCTGACAGTGGATTCCTCTTCCATTGGCCTAGCCTGGTCCTCTGTCTGAGAAATGATGCCACTGGGAAGAGAAGGAAATTTCCTTTTTCTTCATGCTACACATGCAGCTTCACTGTACATAGTAAATATTTTCTTTATTTTGGCAGCCTGTGGCACCTATGCAGCTTATGATTAACAGACTGCTGTTATTTTTTGCCCTGCCGTGTTGGATGGATATGCTGTTTTTGTATCTTTTTGCAGGTCAGTATGATGAGAAGGGTGGTCAGTCATTAGAACAGGCTACCTAGAAACTGGACTGTCCATCTCTGGAAGTTTTCAAGAGCAGGTTTGACAGAAACTTGGCTGGGATGATTTAGTTAGGCATGATCCTACCTTTAGCAGGGGGCTAAACTAGCTGACCTTGTGAGGTTCCTTCCAGTTCTATGAATGTCGCAATAATTTTAGCCTGCTGGAAAAAAAATGCCACTAAGAATTGTTTTGTAGAACAAGGGAGTGCACGCTGTCATTGTTGCTGTGTCCCCAGCCCACCCTTTCTATATGGTCTGCTCCCAATATTCTGCACAAGTCACTGCTTCTGGTGTTGGTGTTCAGTAAGTATGTGAAGCAGCACCACTGTGGTTCAGTACACAGGATGTCGGGCTAGTTAGGAGAGCTGGGTTAATTGAGCTCAGTGGGAGGGACTGCACTGTGCATCTGAGATGGGCTCATCAATTCAGGAACTTGAGGGCCAGATTCTGTTCTACATATCAGGCATTTGTGTGGCCTTTAGGAATCAAGTCCGATCCTATTCCACCCTGCTGAGCTCCTCAAAAACTGCTAATGTGTCTACTTTTTATTCATCTTTAGCCTTGGGACTAAATCATAAGCCTTTTGCTTTAACGGCTTTTCAGGATGGAACATAATCATACTTCAGCACCTAAGTACTACTCAGACATCTCAGACAGAGAATTGGAGCTGGCCCTTAGTTTCTATTAGTAGATAGCCTCACTTTGTGCTTATAGTGGACCATGCATATTTTTACTGGGTACAACAGAGTAATGTAGATCATCTTTCCAAGAGCCCCTGGACTAATCACTATAAGTGTAACTACCAAATATGCACCAGGAGGCCTATATTGTTTAACACATGGTGTGGACAGGTGCAAGACTGATACATTTGTACAGTGCATGATAATAGAGCACAAAACATGGCCCTCACTAGTGAAGACCTAGAGGCTTTGCTTGCACGAGATGTTCACTGGTTAAAAGCCAAGCATGGTGTAGCAGCACTGATGTAGCCTGCGTATTATGGCTTTATGTATCGGCTTTGCTGGACATGTTGGCATTTGTGTGAGCCTGGCCTGACTGTTTAGCTGAAGATCTGTGAGGATCAAAGCCCAGATCTCAGTTGTGGCAGCCACTAGGCAGTTAAGCAGTACTGTTTGCTCTGTATATTGAAAATGCTTCTTCAACAACATGCGAGACTGAAAAATCAGTCAGTCAAATCAGACGCCTGACAAGACTCTGAGTAGGCTAAAATCCTCTATTGCTGTACACTATGTAACGGAACAGTCTGGCCTGTGATGCCAACTCTGAGGACGTGGGTTTTACAATAGCCATGAAACAGTCACAGGCAACATGTAGATAGGGCACGTGCTGTGCCCCCCGCCCCCCTCCCGAGATTGGCCCTTGCTGGCTAGGAAGTGGGGGTGCCAAGAGAAGCACTGGCCAGTGCCCCGCTCTCCCCCCACCCAAACTGGCACTGGCTGGGGAGTGGGGGTGCCAAGAGAAGCCGATGGTGCTTCTGGGGTCGGCAATTGACTGCTTGGGGACCCCCCACCCCCACTGGCGATCAGCCGCTGGTGCCCCCCTAGATTCAGGAGGCACCAGTCGCCCATGGAAACAATCCTTTAAAACATCTATTAAAAACTAACAAAGATGCCTCTTTTTAAACCCTGTCCACTTACTAAGACATTATCTTGTGAGCTTTAAATGAAGTATGTGACATTTTGTGCAACCAATCAAATTATATGGGATGTTCCAAAACGCTGGGTTTCTTTTGAGGGTCCCATATTTATCCTCTTCTTGCACGCTATTTCCTGCAGTTCCTACTTTTGATTGCGCTATGTGAGCTCGAGGGAGGGATGTTTTTTATTCCATTGTTTGGCTCCCTGAGCTCTTCATGGAGAGATGCCTATGCAAATAATTTCATTATTTTTCTTTAACTTGCTGGGAATGAAAACCACCACTGCTGCGACTGGTGGGTAATCCAAGCGCTGCATCTTAACTCGTGATCCACTTGTGTATTAAACATTTACAGTGTTAATTTTTAACCTGGGTGTCAGAGGTGCATAACTAGACTGGAGAGTCACGGGCCAAATGGGCTGTTAATGTGCTAGCTTAGTCCAGCGTATCAGCTGAGTGGGTGGGGGAGAGGGGCCTTCACTACACTGTTGGCAAAACTGCTGTTTGAGCTGGAAGATCTGAAATGGATGTTTTGGCTTGTTACAGATAGTGCATGTGAGAAGTATTTATAACTTGTATTATGTTGTTCCCTCGTATGAGATCAGGGCCTCAACAATCAAGGCACTTTGCAGAGAGGCCAAAAGGTAGTCCTTTCCCCCAGAGTCTGCAATCTAATCGGATCAGACAAACAATGGTGGGAGTAGGAACAAAGCGAGGGATGGAGCCTGTCTCTCTCCACTGTTGCTGTTCAGTGGCCTGTTCCCTTGACTATGCTACCTCCCCATGATGCTTTCTTGATCTGAATTTTTGGGTGGTGGGGGGAGAGGGAAAAGAGTGCTGTTTTAGACAGTAATTTAATACATAAAAACTCTTCTCAGAATGAAAGATGCTTAGCTGAAGCCTGAAAGATCTCAAAGAACTTGTCAGTTGCACACACAACACCCCTAGAGGCACCTGTGAGGAGCCAAGGCAATAAAGTAACTAGCATTCAGCAGTCTGCAGAACAGTGAGGAGGGAAATCTTGTCCAAAGCCAACAGGGAAAACCCTCTTTTCCTATTGCTAATATCCTGGAATACACAGAGACTGGTTTTCATAGAAATCAATGCGTACAATTACCGTAACTGCATGTGTGACTGGGTATTTGCCACATGGCCAGTCAAGCATGCTGGATTTGTGCGCACACATACTCAATCTGCACGTACAATTAATTGCATGTAGGCCTTTCTTTGTGCAATTACAGGCTTCTGAAGTCATACGGAACAGACAAGGCTCCAGTTTTAAAAGGCAGCTAAGAAACCTGTAGTCCCGGATCACTCTCTGCTTGTCCGTTCAGTCTCAGACTGCAATCTGTCAGGGCAGGGAGGCTCTCCTGGGACGCAGCACGTTGCAAGCTCTACATCAGCCTCACGACAGCCCCTCTCAACAGTTCTGAAGAGAGGAACCGAGATTGGAGCCAGTTGCTCTTTGCTGCTGGGCTGACTTAGACGGATTTACCTCTTATAGCACTGGAGCTCCTCTTGCACAACATGGAGCTGAGCTTTCAGCTGGTTCCGCTCTTGCAACACGTCTTCCAACTCTTGCAACGTGAACCGTGGGCGATTTGGATCGGTGAGATCTATCACCATCTTGTCTGGGCCCAGGCTCAGCTGTAAAACAACAACAAAAAAACAATGATGTGAAAGTTAAACAAGCAGCTCAGGAATGCAACCTGGCTCAGCCGAGTTGTGAAGAGGAGCCGGGCTGC